CCACGCCCATCATCTCCAAACACAGGTCCCTCTTAGGGGTCATTTTCATAATTTCCGCCGAGGACCCCCGCCCTTTGATATTAGGGAGTCCCCCCCCCGGGGTTGAATCCCGGCAAATCTTTGGCAACAGCTAGTATCTGTCTTAAGAATTTCAAGAGATTTTTGTCGAGTTTTTTATCCGAATACTTGTAATGCCTGTCTGATATAAGAACTGTAAAACTAATTTAAAATGTGATGATTTGGACAACAATAACGACAATTGAACAGCTTGGTGAAAGCCGAACATCGGTATTCGGCCGCAAACTACCACTCAGTACCCATCCCACCCCACCCCCGTCAAATAATAAATCTACTGAAGAATGATTATGCAAAGCCTGTATCGTTTGCTAATTCCTGAGCTGAGCTCTGATTGGCTCGCTACTCYCTTTGGATTTTGGTGACGTCATATATTAGCATAGATCTTCACCGAATAGACTACMCCAATTAGAYATTAGATATYYATAAGTGTCTTCATAGTACGATGGTCTAAGAGGGTAGCTAAAGGTATGCTCTAGTGGGCGGCTACCCCCTCACTCCCTAGCCTTTTGGTTAAGACTAAGTTTTATGTTCACTCGGGATAGCGTGGAAGRGCCGAAATCTCTAACCGTAACGTAAGCCGATTCGACGCCTCAGCTTCATAGAATGTCTCGGGGGAATCGTCCCATCTTTTTAGATTGTTATTTTTATTATTTCTTATGTATTCCGGGGGTTGCATCTTCTTCTGAAGTGAAAGTCCTGAGTTCGAGTCCTGCCGCTGGAATTTCTCTTTTTTGCTTGCGTATTGTTGCTTTTGCGTTTGTTTCTAGTTTTCTTTTCTTCTTTCTTTTTTGCTCTTTTTCATTTAGTCTTTTTCTTTGCTGTTTTCATTTCGYTTTTTTTACGCCTGCTACAAGTGGATGGTTCAGCGAAGAACAGTCAACTCCAGGCGCGCTATTGTATTTTTTTTTTATTATTTTTTTTTTGTAGTGGAGATTTCAAAATTTTGCCTTGCAAGACTTTTTTCTGCCCTTCGGACCGTTCAGGAATTGTTTTCCCTAAATCTTTCACTTTTCCACCCAAACCCCCTCAAAATTCTAATGGATCGCACCTACCAACAAGGTAGTAATTGCAAGGTCCTGCAGACAAGTCAGGGCATGGACAAAATTTGACATTTGAGAGTGATGATAAAAAATTATAATAACTGAGTGTCTATAACGTACAAGCCCGTACAACGTACAAGCCCGGGGACACTGTGCTCACACACTCACGTGATCTCTAGAACAAAACAAATTATGAAAAAGTAATGAAAAATGTATTTAAAAAATTTCTTAAAGTAATCTACTTAACCGTGATTCGAAAAAATTAGTCGTGAGTCGTGAAATCGCCAAATTTTTAGCCGTGAGTCGTGATGCGTACCACCCCATTGAGACCCTCATACTCGTTATCAATATAAAAACTTGCAGGCATTGTGAAACGTTCTGAAAGTTTTTTAGTATAGTTTTTATTTTGCTATTGCAAGGTCGTTTCCAGGGTATTTATGATCAACCCTCCCCTAAAAAAGGCTCGTGTAATTTTTTCTTCTCAAACGTGTTTTACCATTACATAACAAAAGAAATGGACTACCTTATTCGCACTAATTTTTTCGCGAGGCTTTACTTTCGCGATTTTTAAATTAAAACCTCGCGAAAAAAGGATCCGAGAAGAAAATGAAACACGCGAAATTTAATTAATCTGCTTTAAACATTTTTTCATCCGAATCACTCACTTTTTTTCTCTAYATTACATATAGCTCTTTTTAATGATCTTTCGTGCAGTCTTCAAAACGTCCATTTAGGTTAGGCTCTTTATAATTTTCGCGAAATTAAATTAAATTTATCCTTTTTTCAAAAACGCGGCGAAAGTTAACGCTTGCGAAATATTTGTGTTCCAAATCAGTCGCGAAATTAAGTCGGCTCGCGAAAATTAGTACGAATAAGGTACAATGAAGACTAATGAAGGAACGGCAACATCACTGCTAAAGCGATCAAGGACTTGATAAGAGCCTGACTTCCTTGATTCCCCGCACCAGCATTGCACAAGTTTCCAGGGCAACATGTTGTTGAAAATGTAAAGGATGAAATCGGCAGATAGTTGCATTTGTYTTCTGGCGACTCTCCATCACAGTACTTCTGGTAGACGTTACATTTAGATGTCTTTGTTAAGCCCTTTAAAGGGAAATGGTGATTGCGATTAACAAAATTTATGTACTTACTGCTCTATTTTTTTATTTTTTGAGGTTCCATTCCCGGAAATATAGTTGATATATATCACTAACCGTTGTATAATTAGTGTTCGTCTTGCAACATTGCGTTGAACTGCTTTGACAAGTCGTCTTTTCCAGCTTACTTTGGCAGTCTTCCCACGACTTATAGCTTGTACATGTATAACACTCAAGGCACTTTCCTATTTTTATCGCATACACCTAATTGAAGAAACGTTGTCGGGTCCAAAAAGGTCTAATCATAGAAGCTAAGACCGAAAAGGTACTTCATACAAACAGCTCTCCAGCATGCATAAAAGACTAGCATGCTGTTAATCTTACTAGCTCTAGTTGCTGTACCGTGCACCATGTTTGAACACCGTATATGCAAATGTAATCCCAATTTAGTGGTACTCAAAATCCCTTTCGGTCTTAGCTTCTATGATGTGACCTTTTNCTATAACGTACAAGCCCGTACAACGTACAAGCCCGGGGACACTGTGCTCACACACTCACGTGATCTCTAGAACAAAACAAATTATGAAAAAGTAATGAAAAATGTATTTAAAAAATTTCTTAAAGTAATCTACTTAACCGTGATTCGAAAAAATTAGTCGTGAGTCGTGAAATCGCCAAATTTTTAGCCGTGAGTCGTGATGCGTACCACCCCATTGAGACCCTCATACTCGTTATCAATATAAAAACTTGCAGGCATTGTGAAACGTTCTGAAAGTTTTTTAGTATAGTTTTTATTTTGCTATTGCAAGGTCGTTTCCAGGGTATTTATGATCAACCCTCCCCTAAAAAAGGCTCGTGTAATTTTTTCTTCTCAAACGTGTTTTACCATTACATAACAAAAGAAATGGACTACCTTATTCGCACTAATTTTTTCGCGAGGCTTTACTTTCGCGATTTTTAAATTAAAACCTCGCGAAAAAAGGATCCGAGAAGAAAATGAAACACGCGAAATTTAATTAATCTGCTTTAAACATTTTTTCATCCGAATCACTCACTTTTTTTCTCTAYATTACATATAGCTCTTTTTAATGATCTTTCGTGCAGTCTTCAAAACGTCCATTTAGGTTAGGCTCTTTATAATTTTCGCGAAATTAAATTAAATTTATCCTTTTTTCAAAAACGCGGCGAAAGTTAACGCTTGCGAAATATTTGTGTTCCAAATCAGTCGCGAAATTAAGTCGGCTCGCGAAAATTAGTACGAATAAGGTACAATGAAGACTAATGAAGGAACGGCAACATCACTGCTAAAGCGATCAAGGACTTGATAAGAGCCTGACTTCCTTGATTCCCCGCACCAGCATTGCACAAGTTTCCAGGGCAACATGTTGTTGAAAATGTAAAGGATGAAATCGGCAGATAGTTGCATTTGTYTTCTGGCGACTCTCCATCACAGTACTTCTGGTAGACGTTACATTTAGATGTCTTTGTTAAGCCCTTTAAAGGGAAATGGTGATTGCGATTAACAAAATTTATGTACTTACTGCTCTATTTTTTTATTTTTTGAGGTTCCATTCCCGGAAATATAGTTGATATATATCACTAACCGTTGTATAATTAGTGTTCGTCTTGCAACATTGCGTTGAACTGCTTTGACAAGTCGTCTTTTCCAGCTTACTTTGGCAGTCTTCCCACGACTTATAGCTTGTACATGTATAACACTCAAGGCACTTTCCTATTTTTATCGCATACACCTAATTGAAGAAACGTTGTCGGGTCCAAAAAGGTCTAATCATAGAAGCTAAGACCGAAAAGGTACTTCATACAAACAGCTCTCCAGCATGCATAAAAGACTAGCATGCTGTTAATCTTACTAGCTCTAGTTGCTGTACCGTGCACCATGTTTGAACACCGTATATGCAAATGTAATCCCAATTTAGTGGTACTCAAAATCCCTTTCGGTCTTAGCTTCTATGATGTGACCTTTTCGAACACGACTACGTTTTTTTCAATTAGGTGTATATCGAAAACACAAGAAAAGACAGTAGTTTGAGTATTTAGATCCAATGACTCCATGTGTGTACAGGTGTAGCAAAATTTGTTGCCTGAAGTTGAATCTGAATGATGACTGAAAACGAATCATGAGTGTTTTTCTGGCACGAGAATCGAGATGGGCAAAAATGTATTGAAAGGCCGAGTTGGACTGTGAACAATTTCATGAATAGGTTTAATTACACGAACATGAGGCAGTTTTTTCAAAAAATCGAATTGTTACCACCAAACATTCAATCCAGTTACTTTTCAGAAATCACTGCCTTCAATACTYATTTTTTCATACCTTGTTGCGAACACATTAACAGAATCATGGCAGGTAATATTCCAAATACAAAGTTCTTCATCGTGAGGGCGGAACACAGACTTCTCCTGATTTTCAAATGAGAACGTTTACTTGTTTTTCTTGTTCTTATTCATTACTTTCGAATGAGGAAGCGCTTATGCTACAATTAACATGTCGCAAGTGAGTGTTTCGTATTTCTATTTCAGTTTTGACCGCGTTCCTGTCTCGATCCAACTTCTCAGGTATATTCAYATCAGCTCTTTCCCCAGGGATGGTTGTTTTTAAATTACGGATGTACAGTCAATGGAATCAACTTGGACATATTCTAGGTTGTATTTAGSAGCCGACTCGGKTAAATAACWTACATTCCATAATAATACACTACTCCTTCTGGCCTGCGTCGTGCAGCCGAACCATCTGTGGCGACCGCGCCCTTTTGAAAAGACGACGGAAGTAATTTTCCTATATGTAGTTTTAATGATGTTTTTCAAGACTGAAATAAATTGTTGATATCGGACTCACAAGTAAGTGGCGTTACAAAATAACATTTGTAAACTAATTTCCTCTCCATCAAAGGTGTTCACAAATGTGGAGTTGACATAGTCACACTGAAACCTCGAAAAAACCCCTTTGCGTCATTGCGACAGCCCCTCACCCCAACAAAGGTCCGCTGTTTCTTTTTTTATTGTTGTATTTTAAAATTATTTTGTTATGAACTGTACTTTGTTATGAACTGCTCATTCCAGCAGCCAGTTCTTACACACTAAACCTGTGCATGGAACTAATTTAGTTAAACATTTAATTTAGGTCCGCATTATGAAAAACAACTCCCCCATTTGTAAGGCAGCGTACAGGCCTGCATTGAAGTGGAATATGCATTACATCAAAGTGAGAATGCCTTCAAATTCATATTATAGAAATAAAAATGACTTTTTTAATTTTAGATCCAGATGTTAAATATTCATATCTACAAGAAGTTAAAAATATACCTAAAAAAGCCAATATATGCTATTATAATTTGCTAACTCTGCATGCGGCACTTCATTTTYCYTTTGGGATCCATTYGGCATCGTCCTGTCYGACCTGGGSCTTRAGCCCTATCTGTTTTATTATTTGTCACAATTTCCTTACCTTGCCCATATTAAGCAAAAAAGGAAGGCCATGAGTAGAAAAAGCAAAGARAAAAGAGGAGTCTAAACAAAGAGTTAAAATACCTGTACATATTGAAGATTTCCAGCTGTGACTAACAAAGGATTCTGTATCCTTACTCAAAAGTGATTTGAATTTCTAATAATTTAGTACTTAATAAATATTGYTTCCAGCATGCTGGTTACTAAATTTACACTGCCTAAAATTTCAACTATGCCTCAATCCACCTTAAATTAAYTATGCCATAAATATACTTAGTTGATTTGCATTACAGCTTGAACAAGATCTGTCAAAAAAAAAGATAAAATGTATTATATTTGTGTGTTATAATCACATGACTGAGTCCATAAATTCATAATTACAAGTTAGATGTACGTTTTTGGTGCAAAGTACTGTTTCATAAAGCCTGTGAATTAGAGACCTTCCTSCAGGGTCTGGCTGAACCCAAATKAATGGATAAYACCTACTAGGGAYGAWKTTCACTCTAGWTCCATTTGAAAATATGGAGAGTATTTCTAAACCTTACCTTGATACTTAATAGTTTGGCTGTTACCCATCCCACAAGCTCGTAGCATCTCTTCGACTGTTAAAAGTGAAAAAGAAAAAAATATATTCTAGAAAATTTGAAATTATGGTACTTATTTTAAGGTTTACTAACAGTCAAATGTTGCCTTAACTAAAATGTCTAATTTCTGTCTAACATCCAGTTATAATGATACAAATGAGTCATAAAGAATTCTAATTGTCCCCAAACTTATACTGAAGCTTCGACTTCCAAAGTATCTGTGTTGAGTAGTTCTAGGGAGAGTTGAGTAGTTCTAGGGGGAGTTGAGTAGTTCTAGGGAGAGTTGAGTAGTTCTAGGGAGAGTTGAGTAGTTCTAGGGGGAGTTGAGCAGTTCTAGGGAGAGTTGAGTAGTGCTAGGGGGATTTCTAGCTAACTTAGTATCAGCAATCTAATATTTCACTAGAAATTCAATCCCTGAGTGATAGATCAGAGTTAGTGAAAAACCTAATATAGATACTTCAGACATTTCTTTACTTACATTCTTGCTGGGTCATTTTTTCCCCTGTGTCTACCATAAAGTGCTGTAGTTCTGCTCTTGAAATAGTTCTGCTTTTCTTCTTGTCACAAGCGTCAAATGCATGAAGGATCTCTTCTTTTGGATAGATATTCTTTGCTCTTTGTTCTGCTAATAGCTTGAGGAAATCTGGAAATCGTATTTTGTCTGGACCTTTGGTGTGGGAAATGAAAGATGAAATGAAAATGACTGRCTGAGATAAAAAATGAGGTAAAATGTGCTTTAATATATATTAGACAGACAGAGCAGATAGCAGACCGACATATAGTGTCAGAGTCTGAGAGATGCATCACAATCCTACAATTTTTTAATACATCAAATATCAATGGCTGAAAAACCATGGAGAAAACAACACTTGCCAAATTTGTTTGCCATCTGATCAAGCTCAGAGTATGTGACAGGTTCACCAAGCGATCTCATGACAGATTCCAATTGACGCCGTCCAATCATTCCATCAGAGTCACCATCATAAAGAGAGAAGCATTCCTTCAACTCTATGTAATAACATGTAAGAATGAATTTAGATAATTATGATAAAATAATTAGTAATCAGAAATTCGAATCTAAAATATTTCTGCATTATTGCAATATCACAGAATAGTTAAAAAATATAAGATAACAAAACATCATTAATGAATTACTGATAAAAATCATTTATTCAAAGTCGATCTGTGTGTAAACAGCTGAAGTCCATATTTGGGAATTTAATTTAATATTGATAGGTTTTTTTAGTATTCACGATTTAAAAATTCAAATTTTGTACACTGTGAACAAATTCACGGTCTCTAGCTGACATAAAGTTTACACAAACCTGTTACTATCGACTAAATTTACTTACCATCAATTTCTGATGCGGAAAATCGCTCCTATAATAATGACAACAAAGTAATAAGCTTACAAAATATGCTTCGCATGCATGGCTGCTCGTCAATCGTTTGTCAAAATACTTGAAGTGTTAGCCTAAAACATCACTTCTAACTTTCAAACTATTTTTCTAGATATTAACTTTATATATTATTCATTTAATAAAAGATWTTTACCATATCTTGCGTCCAAAGAAAGCTTTTTCGCGATTGCAAATATCTCTTCCCACTTCAGGTCTCAAACTCATCAACAATGAGCCCGCACAATGTACCCCTAGCGGTTAACGTCAAAAGAGAAAACTTTTTCTCCCATTTCTCAATCTCGTACCCAGAGCCCACACTTTTGCCATCCAGCGGATGTCAATGCGTGAGAGACTCTGGAGGAAACAATTTTTTCTCGATTTGTGATTGGTTGAAAATGACGCGAGCGCGCATTGTTTTCAAATCGGTTTTTCAAGTCGCCAGCGCGCGCTCGCCTGTTTGATCAAAAATATCATACTTTTATCGCATAACCACACATGTTTTCACACATTTGTGTTTTTTAAAAGGTGTCAATACTGTTCCTAAACTAAGTTGTGTGCTAAACCTTCTTCTTTTTTGTCATTTTGATGCTCTAAAGCGGCAAAAACAAAACTGACCTAATTTGCATAATTTGCGACGGAAAAGCGTCGCAAATCCAGTCGATTCCTCCAGAGTCTTTCCGGCGTCAGCATACCGCTGACATTAGCCGTGAAGACTCTGGGCTCGAGATTGCCCATTTCTTCCTTCCACCTTCAATCCCACTTTTTGTTATAATCTAAATTAACTTTTCTCAACAGGATTCATCTTTTATATCCGGACAATGCAGTTTGACCTTGATCAATATGAGTTTCAACTACTCCGTAAGGGGCAATTAGTCAGCAAATTTTTAATGGAACGAATTTCCATACTTATGCCTCGATAGAGTTTTGTATTTTCACTCTTGTATTTTTAGATATGGCCACAAGCTTTTTTTGCCCTCTAAATAAATAAAGGGGGATTCCCCATTGCATCAGTGAAAAGTGAAAGGGAATGAAAAAGAAACGAACGAAAGGTAAGCTTAGTTTTTTTCTGGAGAAGATAAAATTAATTTATAGTGTTTGAGKTTTTTTCCCTTTTATTAGTCAGCAGAATTTCTTTGTTTCATGCGAAAATGAACCAYGCTGACCTTTGGATAAGCACAACACGTTTCATGATCAACTGCGTTCACCAATYAGATAATCTCTTCTATMTTCACACAACGTGGTCTTTCAATCAACCAATAAAAACACGGAATAGATACGGAGCGATCAAGGGTTCYGAAGGACGTGCAGTTTTTCCCAGCACAAATTGATTTTGATTTCATTTGATTCACGATGTTGRGCCGAAGGCAGCTGATTTTGCTGGCTTCAAGAAGTCGCAGTCTGTCGACAAGTTCAACTAGAACTGCAAAACTACCTTATCAGTTTGTTGTTGTTGGTGGAGGAGCTGGCGGACTGTCGATCGCTTCTTCTCTGAGTCGGCGATTTGGCAAAGGCCATACAGCTGTTATAGAGCCTTCTGAGGTAGTAATGGGGCAATTCTATATCTTATTGATGTATTCTATCTACCTTACTTGAATCTCTAGCTCGTGCATTTGAACGTAGACGTCTTTTTAGAATCAACAGGCTGTTGCTTTAAGATCASCATCTAGATTTTTTGTATGGAGATGGGATAGTTTTTTAAAGGATCTTTTGTACAGTGTAGCTTCTATAAAAAGGATTTCTTTGGAGTTATATGGTCAAGCATTTATTGTTGTTTTGAATCCCTGCAGACACTCTCTTGACCAAGATTGATGTGTGCCTGTCCCCCCTCCCCTCCCCCCTAACACACAAAATTATAAAATTTCTGCTTTGTACCAGTCTAATGCCATGTTTTCCTACTTTGCTTGTAGTATCACTACTATCAGCCATTATGGACTCTGGTTGGTGGAGGGATAAAGYCRTTGAGTGAATCTGCACAACTCACTGCAAATGTCATGCCGCCAAATGTAACATGGTACAAGACAAAAGCACATGAATTTAAACCAAATGAAAAYCTTGTTACTTGTGAAGATGGAACAGAGGTTGGTATAAAAATGCATTCTCCATGAAATAAGTAGAGAAATAAGCGCAAGTTCTAGTCTGCATTGCAAATAGAAAACAAATTTTTCAATTATTTTTCTACTTTTCTTTCCATTTCTAGCTCAAGTATGATTTTATGGTAGTAGCGACTGGTCTCCAACTACGGTTTGATATGGTAAATATTAGCTTCAAATTATCGATAAATTTAATGTGTAATTTAAAAATTTACAGCTATTGGTATGGATATAGTTTTAGGATTTCACTTGTTTTTTAATACAGGTCAAAGGTCTTCCAGAAGCTCTCCACACACCAGGAGTAGGATGCAACTACTCAGTTGACACSGTGCTAGATACATGGAAAAACATACAAGACTTCAAAGGAGGAAATGCAATCTTCACGTTACCAAACACTCCCATTAAATGCCTTGGWGCACCACAAAAGATTATGTACATCACAGAAGAAATAATGAGAAAGGTTTAAGTTTACATTAAAAAAGTCTTAAAAATAAACAAGCATAAAAAAAACAGAACACAAAAATTGTAACACCCATGTTAAATGAATATAAGTAATTATAAAAACTATAGTGAAAATTAGATATTTGTTGAACTTGATATCTTTCTTTGCAGAATGGTATTAGACACAATAGTAATGTCATATTCAATACAGCTCTTGGGAAAATATTTGGTGTGGAAAAGTATGCAAAAGCTCTCTCGCAGATTGTTCAAGAGCGTGACATTAAACTTAACTTCTTCCATAATCTTGTTGAAGTCAATGCMGACACAAAAGAAGCTGTTTTCGAAATCTTAAATGGTACAGGTCCTGATAAAGAATTCAAAACTTTCAAGGTGAGTTGAATGTTGATAATAACTACGCACATTTTTATTATAAAGTTTATGCATGTTTTAGAGTTAAAACTGCAATATTTTGATGTAATATTTCATACATAATTATTTATTTTATGAAGCAAAAGAGATCTGTATATTTAAAGCTATTTTAATCTTAAAATTAAGTAATCTGTATATTGTATTTCATAATTATATCTCTGTATATGCTTTTCAGTATGATTTCCTTCATGTCACGCCACCAATGAGTGCCCCAGAGTGCCTAAGAGGAAGCCCTATATCAGATGCCAATGGATTTGTGGATGTGGATAAAATTACAATGCAACACAAAAAGTACAATAACATATTTGGTATTGGTGACTGCACTAATTCACCAAATGGMAAGACAGCTGCAGCTGTGGCTGGTCAGTCTGGTGTCTTGAAAAAGAACTTGTTTGCACTTTTAGATGGCAAACCGATGACAGGACAGGTTAGAATTGTTGTGAAGTGATCCATCTTTCTTCATTTACATCTATAGGTGTTGYCATCCTTGARCAACCAGTTCTCATTGCCTGTYAYTTGGTCWTAATTCGCTCCCATAAAGTGAATTRAAGACCAGGCACCCAAAGATTACTTCTGGGTTCCTGAGGATGATGTGTCATATTTTTTGACCATATTGAGTGCGCAAAAGCCGATAGTACATTTTKTGTCCTGTCTGTATTCAACTGATCCTTTTTTCATCCCATTTTTGTAGTATGACGGATACACGTCCTGCCCTTTGGTAACTGGTCATGGAAAACTGATTTTGGCAGAATTTGATTTCAATGGAGAACCTCTTGAAACTTTCCCATTTGACCAAAGCAAGGTAAAYATTGTTACCACAATTCAGTTCCTCATTTTCTTGGAGAAGTCTTATGGATAGCTCACTCAAGATTTTGTTTCTAGAGACATTTCCACTGGCGTGTCCATTTATTTGAAATTTCCAGAAATTCCAGATGGAATGCTAAATTATGGTTCAATCACATGTTGTCAATCAGAAGAATATCGATCAGAATCTGAAAAAAAATCACTATGGGCACTTTCTAACTCGTGGGTCTTGATCTCGGATCTCTTCTAGTTTTGCAAAAATGAACGAACAAAATAGAAAATAATGAAAATGGAAAATGCAAGTAATATTCATTTTTATGCCATTTGTTTTCTTSTCATAGGAAAGAACATCAATGTACTATATGAAAAAGGACATTCTACCGGAAGTCTATTGGAATGGTCTGATAAAGTAAGTCATGGGAAAAATCAAGACATTTCACTTCACAAAACTACTTTGATTTTATTTCAAAATGTATGGGGATATCACTACCTTGACTTGAACAAGGAACACAGTGAGGTCTTGCAAACTATGTCTATTTTTTTTATATTTTATTCTAGTTCATGCATTTCATAAAGTTTAAAAATATTTTTTTCTGTCTTTATAGGGGATTATGGCCTGGAGTTGGAACCGTGAGAAAAGCACTTCATCTGGGGCTCAAGAATTAGATAGAAACATGTCCAAATGTGCTGAGAATAGTCGCATATTGCAAGAAAAGTGTCTCTGGATGTGATTCTGGATGTAAAGATCTTCTTGTATTTGTTATAAGCTTACAACGACTGGAGCAAGAGACATTTTGTAGAATTTTGTAAAATTTAAGATCAGTCGCAGTGTGTTGTACGTATGGAAATTTAAATGATGATTCAAAAATAAAATAGACACACGTACTTTTGTAAATCATATAGGTGCGGATGACAAAGTTTGATAAAGTATTACTGAAAGATTCMTGGTAATACAAACTCTGTTTTAGATGAATAAATTAAAATAATATATCTACCTGCGTAACTGCAAGATTTCTTTTTTTTCTTTTCCGTCCTTTCCTTTTCTCTTTTTTACTCGTATCTTTATGCAATCCGCGGAGTTCCTGTGTCACTTCAAGTACCCAGAGTGCTTTTGGAGCATGGACGGTACCAAAATGGCGGACAGTTCTCGAAGATAGCTTTTGTTTATTTTTTAAAATTGAGCTGATTTACCTCTGTTTTGGTCAAGATCATTACGAACTAGTTTAAAGTGAAGAGAAATATGTGTGATTAGAGGGCTAAGATATGGAATTGAATAAGGATAAAACTTAGACGGGATACTTTGTCAGAATTCTAAACTTAGCTTGCATGTTGCTAACAACTGTAACTATGGGMAGTACGGAGCAATACGGTCAATATACGATACTTGGAAGAATAGGAGAAGGAGCACATGGSATAGTATTCAAAGCTAAACACATTGAGGTATACATAAGTAGTTGTGATTACATTTTAGTACGGAAAGACCAACAGTACACCATAAAAGCTTTATACCACACATTTGTCCATTGTCATCATTCATGCTACAGAGTGGCGAAGTTGTTGCTCTYAAAAAAGTTCCGTTAAGAAGATTGGAAGATGGAATCCCAAACACGGCTTTGAGGTATTCTCAAAAATAGGAATATTGTACAATAATAAGTTCTACATGAGGTTATAAACGTCAAAAATTTGAGTTGTTGCCTAAGCAGTTTTCTAGTGCATGTTTTTTATGTCGTCCTTAGACTTTCACAAAGTCCCTTTAATAAGCCCTCGGAGTTCTATTCTTTCTTTTTCTGAGTCCAAAGAAAGTCCGACTTGTAGCAATTCTATATGTCGTCCTTTACTATTTTGTATTAACAGGGAAATCAAGTCATTGCAGGAAAATGAAGAAAATCCTTTTGTAAGTTTATCACCGGACATATAATGCAAATATATAATATTTTATTGTACATATTCATTTTTTTCTTTTGTTCAATTCGTCAATGTTTAGGTTGTCAAGCTTATTGATGTCTTTCCTCATGGAACTGGGTTTGTTCTTGTATTTGAGTACATGTGGTCGGATCTGTCAGAAGTACTCCGTAATTCCACACGACCGCTAACAGAGGTATTCGATGTACATTGTAGAAGTATTGTACTAATAAATTACAAGTAATTTTTATGATGACATCTTTGCCACTCTGTATATGTATGTCATAGATCAACCAGATCTTTATTGTATGTTAAGTGCAGGATAGCATCATAATCTTTTGAAATTGTTATAAAGATCTTTAATGTACATTTAAAAAAAATTACATAAACTACCTTATGTCAAAAAAAATTACATAAACTACCTTTTAGTTATGTCTTGCATTATAATGTTTTTGTTTTCTCATTTAGGCTCAAATAAAGAGCTACATGCTGATGCTTCTAAAAGGAGTTGCATACTGCCACAACAGAGGAATAATGCATAGGGTATAAACACACTGCACTCTAAATTCTTTGAGTTATCTAACTAGGTCCCCCTAGACTAATCAGAATTTAACTCCATTCATGACTTTTTTCAGGATCTGAAGCCAGCTAATCTGTTGATAAGCTCTACTGGTCATCTAAAAATAGCAGACTTTGGTCTTGCTAGAGTGTTTTCCAATGAAGGAGATAGACTTTACAGTCACCAAGTGGCAACAAGGTGAATCTATTAATGGGAAATTCAAGGGCTTTTTTTGTGAATGGCTACAGGGTAAAAGACAGATAGACAGACAAAAACTATAGACAAATAAATATGTATGTTGGTTAGACTACATCTCTGTAAACACAATACCATTTATTTTTTACCTTTAGCATCTTTTCCAGTCACTGTTGCTATAAACTTCACCATTGTTTTCAATATTGCACAATTCAATATTAGCATTTCCTTTCTTTCAAGATGGTACAGGGCACCAGAACTACTCTATGGAGCAAGRAAATATGATGAAGGGGTTGATCTCTGGTATTAATGAATATTATGAGTAGTACTTGATTTTATATAAAATGTACACTAGTAGTATCAGAGAAGCTGAACTTACAGTAATGTTGTTCTTGGTGTTTTAGGGCTGTTGGATGTATACTAGGAGAACTGCTCAACAACTCACCACTTTTCCCAGTAAGTCACAATGGTTTTGTTCTACTGAGTTTCCTTTCTTGACTGCTATTTGRRAATACCTGTACACAGGGAACCCAAAACACAGGAAGCCCAATACTAAACAATCATGTTTGTTTTGAAGGGTGAAAATGATATCGAACAACTCTGCTGTGTACTAAGAACCTTAGGGACTCCAAATGAACAGATCTGGCCAGTAAGTGTATAWAAATAACCATACTTTGTCTCATATTCATCAAGAACATGTAAAGATACTTTTTGTAAAAAAAAGTCTATATAACTGTGATTATTAATTATTTGTATAATTTAGATTCTTTGTGTGTGTTTTAGGGAATGACAGATCTACCAGATTACAACAAAATAACWTTTCCAGAAATGCCAGCTATTCCTTTAGAAAAGATTGTCCCTGATGCTTCAGATGAGGTATATGCCACTGCCAATATAGAATACTTTTTTAACTTGTTCTGTAACTTATTAGAAATGTAGTGTGTGTTTAAGGTAGTATAGAAGTGTGATATTTCTCACAAGGCTATAAACATTCAGTGTCTAAATCAGTACAAGTTTGATTTCTTAAAAAACATTCCTTTGCATTTTCTCTTTTTATTCTAGGCCATTGATCTTCTAAAGAAATTTCTGGTTTATCCTTCTAAATTAAGAATCCCTGCCAGCGAGGTAATGATGATGGYGATGGTTGAAGTTATGATGATGATTATGATKATGTGATAATTATAGTAGTCGAAATGAAAGTCACATTTTCATAAAGACTGCTCTTTCTTTCTTTCATCTTTCGCAGGCTTTGATTCATCCATATTTCTTCACCGAGCCCCTTCCAGCCCACCATTCCGAGTTGCCAATACCGGCGCGCAATAGCAAGAAAGCCTCAGTCCGTGGACCTCATTTTCGAGGCTTTGATATCGACGTGAAGCTTGAAAAGTCTCTTATCAGTCCAGATCGACTTTATCATCGTAAACTACTGTCATCTCTACAGCAGGATTGATTTAAATCAAAACACCTCATAATCAGAAATTGAGTTGCGAGCGTCAGGACGTTTTAGCATGTACCCTACTGTAACGTTAGTTGACCTTCTTAGTTTTAACGCAAACTGAATTTAATACTGAAACATTTAATGGACGATGTACAGCACTGGCCACTGCATGCTGTCATTCAAAGACTTTAACCGAAATTCCTATTTGTCCATATCCACAATTCTCTTTTCGTTCAACACGCATCCGTAGTGTGAAGCTTTTTTCAAGTATTTTCGCCCTAATAGAGGACGTTTTCGAAAACAAAATTTGGGGATGCTTGGAAAAGTCCAGAAGCACCTCTGTATTCGTAAATACCCCATTGTGGAGGCAAGCATTTCCGTGAGTTTATAGGATTGACATTAAAATGTAAATTAACTAATGTACAAAAAAAAAAAATAAATTAAAATAATAAAAAACGATAAGGTAATTTGTCAGTGTAATTGCTAAAGTTTCCATTAATTCATCTTACGTTGTTCTATGCTTTGGTAAGATTTGGTAGCCATGCATGCATGGAGGATTTACCCTTTAAAAGGTATATGGATAGTTTTGTTTGAAAAGGAGTCGTGTGTTTTGGCGTGTTGTGATGTCGACAGGATTGGCAGGTTTATTGTTTTTAAATGTTTTGATGTCATTTACATTGAAAATCCGGACTCCTGCAATGTCTTTCGAATTCAACAAAATAACGATGCTAGATTCATCATACATATGMATTAACTTGAAATCAATCTAAACTTTCTAAGTTACCTATATCCAAACAGTTTACTGTATGGGCTGAGATAGGGCTATTCAAAAGGTMCAAAAGGCAAATAGGGCTAACGATTTTGTTTAAAAAAGAATGAAAAAGAGTTGTAAAGGCGCCATGTACCGTCATTTTTCCAATAGAGGATCGACAAGCGAATCTAGCTGAGTTGGGTGTCCAAAATCGACTGTTGTCCGTGTTTCAGTTCTACTTAGCCTATATACTCCCTCGTGTAGAGAACAGAGTTACTGGCACAGCCCGACCGATACTCTATCGCGTAAAAAGCATCATGAGTATTCTATGCTACTTGACAGAAGTACGTAGCCACGTCAATCTAGTTTATAAATAAAAGATTATTTGAATAAATTAATGTCTTGATCATCATAAACAGCCAGCAATAAGGCTATAAGACATTGCGCAGTATGTTTCCGCGTCATCCCTCTATACATGCGGAACAATCGTACAATGCATATTATGATATATAGCCCACCCTCACTCAAGGGGGTTTTTCGAATTGACTTCGAATTGCGAAAAAAAAACTCTGTCTTATAAAGATAAAAAAATCGACGTTAGATAGTTATTTTTTCTTAAAGAAAATATAAGGGAGTTTGTTTCAACATTTCGCGAGTTAAGTCAGCTGAAGATATGAATATGAGGACCGCATGGCGCGTGAGATACATGCCCACACAATGGGTTCGGATTTTTTGTACTACCGATGGTCCATCAGCTGAGCCACAAGGTCAGAAGGGGAGTAGATCGGGGTGAAATAGATGTTTATAGCTTGCGGTAATTAAAATGAAAAAAGTTAAAACCTGAATCTACATGGCTGTACTGGTGGAGCCGTTCAGTTCTGATAATATTATTGAGCGTGACATTTAATTTAAAGCAGCTATCGACCCAAATTCATGACAAGACGTACGAATTATTACCTTTAGTTAGCTTTAATGCTCGAGGGCTGGCATTATTCCACTCGACGCCATGCTGGAATGTAACATTTTCTCAATTTTGTAAAAATGGTCTAATGTGCCTTTTAAACTTTGCATGATCATCGCCTGTATTGTTCAATAAGCAATAAAACTACACAATAAAACATAACAGAAACAGAAACAAAAACAGAAGAACGAAAAAAAGAAAGAAAAACAGGCAACAACAGCGTCAAATTTAAAAAAAAGCGATGATATTGATAAATAAATAACGTCAATTTAGTGTAGCTAGCGACTAGGAATCTGATTTTATTGAATACTACTAGACCAGGCGATGATCCGTCGAAGGGCAGAAGATGTCGTAAATATTTTCATAATGTGAAAGCGAGCGCTTACGACGCCCTGAACCATAAAACTTTTAGAAGTATGTTAGGKAGAAAATGCCCCTCGGATCCATGGCCACGAATGAAACGAACCTTTGCCGCGTCATCCGTGAGTTTCTCTTTAAGGAAAAACAATGAATTAGAGTATTCTTTCAGTAGACCGTATATTGATATGTAAATTTATTGCATTCTGTGCACGCGTGAAAAACTCTTGTACACCACTTCATTGAGACAATTTCATTCCTCCTTGCTAATGTGACTTTTCTCTTTCAGKACTATGTTTTTATTCATGTTTTTGTCAGTTTTCGGCACTTGAAAACAAGGAAAAACTAATAAGTACTTGAAGTTTTTGAAAGAAAAGCTATTGTAGGTCAGCTGATTGTAGGTGGTGTTTGACTAAAAACTGTATTTGTTTGTCACGGTTGCGCGGCACACCTATTCTACGCATGCGCAAAGTCAGAGTAACCGTGACAAGAAAAGATGGCTTCCAATTATGTTGAAATCTTTACTCGTATTTGGGAGACTTTTTGTGCACAGTGGAAGCATAGGGGACCAACAGAAACATACCTGCAAGACTTCGTAGACGACTTGCACGAGAATGGGGTTATTAGAGTCGAGGACATTCTAACTACTATCGCACTGGGAGTTGCATTTACCCTCGCAAGATATGTAGCGACAGCTTTCATCTTTAAGGTTGGACCTTTGTTTGTTACGTTTGAATGATAGTTATCACTAGTTAGCTTGTTATAGTGCTCAATCCAATCTTCAAGCCGATCGAGGGCTTCTTATTGATGATTTCCTCAGATCTACACTGTTTTCTTTTTGTTTTGAAGTGAGAAAAATAGACACATTGYAATCTTTCAAAAGAAAAGAGCCACTCTTAGCCACTATGACAGAGTGTAATCGTTCACTCTTGCCATGCTAAAGTGCGCTGTTGTGTACTAGCAGCTCCTTCTGGTACACTGGTCATCACTACTCGGATGTTTCTTTAAGTATTGAGATAAAAAACTGAAAAAAGGGATGAAATAAACAAAAATATTAACAAGATCAAACGCTCGTTTCACGGMACAGTGACTTTCGAAAAGCTTTTCAAATAAGGTGTTTGTATTTGCATCTAAGTACGACAGTCTTATGAGCGCTTCTTTTGAAAATGCAAGCTCATTTTAACGGAGCTTATCACCTTATAGGAAATAGCAAGAAAAAATAAAAAAAAAGGTTTGTTTTTAGAACCTCACAGCACCTAGGTGATAATGAACAACGTGAATAATTATCATAATTTAGAATAAATTACAATAGTAATTAGGTTGAAATTAGCTAGAGTTCATAATTTGAGTAGCCATCAATAGTTTTGATATTTCAGACAACAAAAATTATACGCCATGTACGTCATAAACTGTGGACACTGAAAATATTCAATGCTTATGTGATATCGTAGCTGCGAATTCTGCCTAATAACACATTATTCAGTGTTCCAATTTATGTCACTTTTGAAAATATTTCCTTTCCATTCGTTTAAAGTGGTCTGAAATGTCAGGTGTGTTCTAGTGGAGAAACAACAAAGACATCATTAAAATTCTATATGGACATTATAGAATCTCCCATGTCCAGAAACTGAATGTGGACTGACATGTTATAATTGGGGCAATGGAAAAATCTTTTTAGGTGGACAATTTTTTTYTAGATCAGCTGTATGATTCAAAGAGCATTCAAGTGTTTTGATGTGATATTATTATCCACTGACAATGTCAAACAGCTGTGTAAATGAAGAGGGCAGATAAGCTCATGCATGTGTAAAGAATGACAATATTTAACTAAAAAAATAWTTAATTTGCTTATGATTTCTTCGTTAATTAGTAACCACATGATAACAATAATCATCGAGTGTCAATCAGTTGAAWTATAATTATAATATTGAAATCAATAATATTGTGCCTGAGCCTCTCTCCCACTGTCATTTTTCTTGCTTTTTTTCATTTGTTTGATATAATACTTTAATATGAATGAAACTTTGCTATATACCTACTTCTAATTATTGCCCTGAAAGATATAATAAATTATGAAATTATGCATTTTCTACTAGKCTAGTCCAGAGTTCATAGTCTGAACAATGTCCTCACCATACTTTGGTGTCATACAAAATGCTTATAAATTTTTGAAGTTTCCTGGAAATACTTATAGATATTAAATGTTTTCTAATATACACAAAGAGGATCAGTATTGTATAAGAATAATTCATAACAGGYTTAGTAAGTGTAAATCAGTTACCCAAGTGATGAAAATTGACAAACAATTGTCAGGCTCTTCATGCCAAGGACATACTTTTGTTTTTAATAGGTATTTGAATAACTGATCCAATATTTACACTCAGAATTCATGATTTCCTCAAGTTCGGTTCAGTTTCATGAATGCTTGTTAAATTTTTTATTTTTTTGTTTTTGTCTCATTATTTATTTATAATTATGACATGCTATATCTRCAATTCATACATCTTTAATATGGATAAAAAAAAGAGAAAAAAAAGAGTCAATTACGTTTCATGTCGAATACATTCATTTGTTTGTGCTTAGGATAAATGTTGTTACCAGTTTCCAGTTGCTTGAGCYTTAACTGATCTGACAACACTATGGTTTTCAGTAACTTTTTCCCTGTTGTTTCAATTTAACTAGTTTGATTATAATGTGATTTTATTTTATTCTATTAATGAATTTGTTCATSTAATCCAATCCAGTCTTCAATTATTTCTAGAGAATTTCAATTGGTTAAAAGYAAAAAGACTAAATGTACATGCTTCAGAGACGCCATAATTTCAATGAAATATGGCTTATCATTTCAAAATGGAGACTTTCAATCTTTAACTGGTGATATCAGTGCTATTTATCTCTGAATCACAAATGAATAAGTGACCAGCACATCTGGAAAATYATGTGATTAACTGCCATACAATTTAAGCCTAAGATTCAACTATCAATCTCAAGTGCATGGGAGTGAGGATTGGGCAAGAGTGGGGATTTTGACATTTAAAAAATTGAAAAAAATTGAATAAATTAATAGATTATAGATAAATAAAAATAACAAAATGTAATGTTCTAGAGTATCAAAAAACTGCATCCTCATCGCTAAAAATACTCAATAAAGCAATGGATTAAGAAGAATAAAGTTGATATAAATAAAGTTGATATAAATACTAGATAAATTAGATGTAGGTACAATCAAAATCCCCTGGGGAACCTGATGCATTCATGGTTAGCCAGACCCCCACCCCCTTGAGTGTTATGTTGTGCATTGTGGATAGCAACCACTGACATTGAATGGTGTAGAGAAATAACATATATGAATTAAAAATTAATTAAATAATTTGCTACTTATATNCGGTAGGCAAAGTGTCGGAAAATAACAAGGAATGACCGGGAAATCGATGTCAAATAATTCTCGCTGAATTCAAATTCAGAAAGAATKATCAATTGMAAACRTTAGAYAHCTYAAAMAGGAGTTAACGGGCAAAATTTGAAAGGCGTACTTGATCTCCATACATTTCTTTGTAATTTCAATACATTTCGTTATCATTTCCGGGGTCGTTAGTGCGTGACGCGCATGAAAAATACAAAGAAATGTATGGAGAACTAAAAATGAGTTTACTTGCTCTCTAGATCAAGTATGCCTTTCAAATTTTGCCAGTTAACTCCTTTTTGCAGTATCTAACGTTTGCAATTGATAATTCTTTCGGAATTTGAATTCAGCGAGAATTATTTGACATCAATTTCCCGGTCATTCCTAGTTATTTTGCGACACTTTGCCTACCGGAACAAAATGGTGGCCGAAACCGTCACCTCATCTATTAGATGTAGGTACAATCAAAATCCCCTGGGGAACCTGATGCATTCATGGTTAGCCAGACCCCCACCCCCTTGAGTGTCATGTTGTGCATTGTGGATAGCAACCACTGACGTTGAATGGTGTAGAGAAATAACATATATGAATTAAAAATTAATTAAATAATTTGCTACTTATATAAATTAAAATATTTCTTTTATCCATTTTTAACTTTTGTACCATTTCTTTTCTTTCCAGCCACTTGCTTTATATTTCAAATTTATACCAAAAGATGTCACAAAGTTTCCTGAGAGTGCATGGAAGGTGTTCTACTATTTCAGCTGTTACATGTATTGCTGTTACATTCTCTACTGTGGAAAATATTCTTTTATTGAAGATCCTGACAGTGTTTGGACAGGTATAAAAAAAAAACATTTCATAAAATGCATCATGRATAAAAATTATCATCAGAAATGGAGTTTGATTTCATGGACTGCCGCCCTTTTTAAAAAAAGCTTTAAAAATAAAAATACTTTTTTAAATAGAAAAATTAAGCTATCTCTAACTGTTTTAATAAAATAAAAAAAACAGTTGCAGTCTAGAATAGACACTCCAAAAGTACRAGATRTGCTTTTCAAGCATGCTTTTCTTCTCTTCCCTTTTATACTTAATTACAGCATAGATATTTTAAGAATGTTATTCAAATGATAATTATGTTATCATATTAACGATGATATTTTGATTTGTAGAGATGAAAATTGCAGGMCTTGCCTCAAAAGTAGAAATTCCATCAGATATCTACATCTTGTACGTTATACAAACTGGATTCTACTTGCATTCTATCTATGCAACTTTCTTTATGGATAAATGGAGAAAGGACTCCATTGTCATGATATTGCATCATGTATTAACAATATGCTTGCTTGCTTTCTCTTTCGCTATAAGGTATGTGCATAAGAGTAACTGAGTTTTGTTTATACAATGACTGAACTATCTTGAGCTTATTAGTTATTTTTATCCTTTGCTTTTTTTCAATCCCTTTGTCTTCCATTTTCCATCCAGTAACTTAAGTAATATATGAAATATAAGAAGAAGAAATTTATGGAAATTTAGAACTGCAAGAATCAAGCAAATAAAGAATAAAGCTTAATTTTGTCATGCCAATGATTTTCCATTGTGTTGAATTATTCTGATAATTGAGTAGGTAAACACATCTAATTATAACTAATAATTGATTGGTTAATTTAATTAACAATAATAATTCATCCACTTGAATTTGACAATTGTTTTTTTTTTTCAGATACCACAACATTGGTGTTATAGTTCTTTATTTACATGATATAGCTGATGTCTTTTTAGAGTTTACCAAAATTTGTGTATGTTTTAAATCTCGGTCTGAAGATTGTAGAATTGCTGATCGTCTTGTAAATTTTGGATTCTTGATGTTTGCTTTTGTATGGTAAGATGCATATTTAACTAATTGCAATGATTATTCCTTAATTACTTATAAGTTTCATGACATGTCAAATTTTCCTACAAATAAATGTCCTACCGTAAATGATCTAACAAACGCCCACACTCTAATGAACGCTTCCTATCTAATGAACACCCCCCTATGCTTACAAGTTTGTATTAAACGCCCCTCTCTAACAAATACCCCCTGTCTATTAAACGCTCTCCCCTCTGTGCCACCATCCATCACTAGAAACAAATGACTTAGGAATTTTTCTGATTTCATTGCTATCATTGTCCTATCAGTGTAGCACCCACGAACTGCAAGGCCTACTTCCCTGTTTTTTTTTTAGGTAGAAGTTATAAATCATAACATGTGGTACATTACATTGATTACAGTTTTATTTTAGAATAAACACCTCTCTCTAATCAGCGCYTCCTGTCTATTAAACATTCCCCTTTGGACCACTGAAATTTAATAATGGCCCCGGCATTTATTAGATCATTTACAGTATATCTTTTAAGATATACTGTAAATACTGTTAATAGTTAAAACTATATACTTCCAGTCTCTACCCTGGTTCTCAAAATTTTATGATATTACCTTATTTTGGACAGACAAGGTTAATTTACATTTATATAAATACAATAGGACAATTATCAATTCAAAGTCTATGTTTGTTTTCAGGGCAAAATGCAGACTGTACCAGTACCCTTATAGAGTCTTATATGTGACTGGCCACACGTCAATGAAAATTGTTCCTGAGGGAAAATTCTATCTCTTTTTTAATTTCATGTTGTGGGCGTTGTTTGTAATGAATATTTATTGGTTCCACTTTATTATCTTGTTAATTTGGAGAGTTATAAAAGGAGAAAGTCGAGAGGTAAATAAAAGAAAATTCGCTATAAGTACAGATCATATATAAMACTAGGCAGCACAGCCAAATAACTTTGATTCCTTTTTCAAATGTCTTTTTTTGAGTCATAATTTTTATTTGACTGTATATGTAAACATCTGTTATCAAGTCCAAATAGTCCAATGGCAAGAGAGCTCTGAATGGCAAGAAATTTTGGGGCTTGTGGTCACACCTTTGGAGCTCTTGTTGTTGGACTTGCAGATACTCAAAATTGATAGTAAAGTTTGCTTTAAAGGAGGAATACAATTATTTTATTGGCTTCTGTGTAACACCAAACTCTCTGTTGTCTTCTTTTCATTGTTCATCGTACTACGTAGGTTGAAGATGTCAGAGAGTTAAGTAAGGAAGAGACAAAGAATAATTTCCACAAAAAGGAAAATGGTATGAAGAATGGCAAAACAAATGGGCATGGTAAATTATCCTTATTATTATTATTATTATTATTATTATTATGAAATTATGATGATCACTGTTGGTGAACACTTAATTTATTGTAACTGTATCAAGATGATTTACAGGGTTCCTAATAAATGGAGAACTGCAGCAAACTACTGATAATTTTGTCAAATAAACAGCATTAGTKACCAAGTCTAGAAACTGGTGATTTTTGTGGCCACTGGCTTTTATTGCAAGCCCTGTAACTATATCCTTACAATGAATTCTAAATACACAATTTAAGACAATGATTTCCACATCTTTGGGCCACTTACTTGGATTTAAAACAGAAGTTAATAAATCTTTTGCTTACAGAATCCTATATCATAAAGTCCAAAGATCAAGCAATCAGGGAGGAGAAAAATGGTATCATTGATAAAGCAAAGCACTTTCCACACCAGAGAAGGAAGAAGAACTTACAGGGTAACTAGTAGACTTTGGACTTGAAACAACTTATATGGTGTACAGTTGAATGCAAACAATATACCTAAATTAATAGTGGTAATAAGACAATACGGAACAAAGGAGTTTAGCTGTCTGCAATATATTTCTTGGGTATGTTGTTTGCACTCTAATAGGAATAGTATAACAAATTGAAACAAAATAATATCAATCAGTCAATAGAAATGAAAAATCACTTAATTACATTACTGAATGTCTTTTTTAATAATAGTACATATGAAAATACACTCTGACATTGTATCAAACAAAAAAATCAGATTKTCAAGAGATTTTTACCAGTTGCACTGGCATAGTTTTGTTCACTATAAGTACTGTGAATGCTGACATTCACCACCTCAATTCAAAATTCAGTATTCAGTAGTGCATCAGTCAGTYACTCAGTGACTGGAGCCAAGTAACATGACAGGGAGGAATTTTTGAAACATTCTTTAATACAACATCAATCCACAGGGAGGTGGGGTAATGAAAGTCTTAATGCAAGGAAAATACCCCCCAGGGCAAGTTGTGCAAAGGGTAGTTAGGTAGTTACGTATATATTCCATATATTTTGYATGACTTTCCGTTTTAATCCTGTGGATAGCGCTATCTGCTCATTGTACAACCGGCTCCTTGGTTTGACGGTAATGAGTGCCGTAATCTAACATGACCAATGCATTAATGAATTGCTAGTTAACTTGCTCAATGAGCACAACTAATAATTATACTTCATAAGGGAGTCTTTTGTTATTGCTATCAAGTGCATCCATGATTTCATTCAGAAGTAGGACCGCTATTTCAATTTTTMCTTTCATTGAAATGCACCATTCCAGTCAATTGGAGAAATTCTGCTTGCTAAGGTAGTTGTTATTTCAAATTTAAACCCTTAGCTTGTCATAAAAATGCAGATTATGCTTGAACAACCTCTAACAAACATAAGTTCAATGTATTTGAATGATTTGCGATCTCTTTTAGCGACAAATAGAGAGAAAATCAAATAACATATCAATGTCATTGTCGATATCGATGATGGAAAAATGATGATGTAAATGATTTCCATTAATTTTACAGAATTTTGGACACTTACATCATATTTACATCAAATTTACAACCTGTAATTTTTCCAGTGTTAGCGGTGTCAGAATTTTTGCAAACGACTATGCCACAACGATACATCATTACATTGCTAACTAGGTTGTTGAGCAAGGTGTGAAAAAAAAAAAAACAATTCTTGCAAGGTGTGGAAAGTAGTACAAAACGTTTTCTTTTTTATTGTTTGGGATAAAAGCAATCAAAGCTAATCGTCGATCTAGTATCATAAATCCTTACAAATTCAAGGCATTATAAATGCATATGGTCATCATTAATTTGTGGTAATTTTGTCATCAATGTWTAAAAGCAATAAAGATATACAAAGAAAATTACTGTATTTTTCCAAAAAGTAGTCTAACAGTGTAAACAAGTACAAAGTTTTACTTTCTATTGTTACCATTGGATTGACCAGGTCCAGTTCACTGTAGAATGAGCAGGGTTTGGTTYCAAGTAATTAATAGCTATATCAAGTAAACTTGCCAGAGCATAACGGCGATTACACGACCGAACGTTATTCAGTATTTTTTGTTCTGAAAAACACTTAAGAACCAAACAAATCACCGTCATTATTGATTCCATCTCATGGGTGAATACTGCCGTCAATCCATACTCACTTTACTTTCTGTCGTGGATTCGCTCTTCGCTGTGACAACCTTCTTTGAAATAGATAAATATGTTATCACATGTATCATACAAATGGTAGTAACTTTATTATTGCTTGATGTCTGGAAATCATTGGACTTTACCTTTTTTCCCCGCGGGGTTGAGTCGGGCAATGATAAATGGTTATTTTGTAAGCTTTATGCATCCAAGGGCCTGATATATAAAGCGGTCTGGCAAGATAAACTGGCTGGTTTTTCTTGTTTTCTTACTCCTAAAGGCATGTTTACATTACAATTTTCAATTTTTGCAACAATTCTATCGCACGTTAAAACAGTTTGCAAATACACGATGATTTCAAAGTGATAATTGTAGCGATTTACACTAAAATTTCGAGTTTTTTTCGAATTTGCTACGATAAACAGGTCTGCGAACTGTTGCCGTGAATTTTCGGACTGTTTCCAAACTCCATTTTGCGATGAAATTGCATTACAAAATCGATGCTCATGTAACGCGAAAAAAAAAATTCTGGGCATAATAGACCCAATTTAGCCAGCCCACTTCATATAATCAGGCTCTAAGTCCTTGCTTTATTGTTACGTTTACATGTAAAAAGACGCAGTGCAAACGTTGAGTGAATCATAAGTGTTAAAGTAAGTAATATCAAGATGCGTGTATMGTCAGACCATTGCCATCAATCAGYTTATTGTCATTTTTGTTGTTGTGTGGCAATAGTTTTTACTCCCGAAACTGCACAGACTATGAAATAGGTAATAGTACATGTATGTCTTAGAGCGAGGGCATTTAACCAACAAAAGAAAATTTAACTTTGACAGGTTACATGTTCTAAGTCTACTGTAGATAAATATCATTGAAAAGTTGTTTTCATTTGACTGCRCAATGGAAATAACTATTTAGTTGATATTTCTTTGTAAAGAACAAAAGAAACAATAGATTCAAAGTGTGATACCATCCAATAGTCTCTCTAATCATCCACAATCAAACCAATAAGCGCGAATCGTTATCTTATTTTGTATAGTTTAGTAAATATTATTCGATAATGCATGTTTCTTTGAACGTATACATCTTGATTATAAATCATATCATTCATTTAACGATTCGTTAAGATAATTATTTAATGTCAATCAGAAAAAAATTGTTTTATATAGTATATATTTGATCTTGAACATATTTTAAATGCAATAATCACAATCTCCTCAGTTAATGGCCCCGATTTGTCTTTACTTATAATAAGTACTTTCTTAGGGGTATCAAGGATGAAAACAGTAGAGCAGAGTCACATGAACCATGAAATAARAACTAMAAASTAMTAACTAATARGSACTATTAGTTCCTAATAGTCGTTAGCACTGAACCAGAACAGTTKATTTGATCCAATAAGCAATACCCAAGAGACCACTTTAACAATCAAAGTAATCTCTTTGTACTGTTCTGGTTCAGTGATAGTGTCTAAATAGTGCCTATTAGTAACTAAGTATTTAGTTTCTATTTCATGGTTCAAGTGACTCTGCTCTACCTCTTTTAAGTGTTCAAGCTAACCCTAGAGGGTACCCACTTAATACAGTTACTACTGTACTATAAACCTAAAGCAAGAGGAAATCAGAATATCTTATCGAAAATAATCAGTAATTTTAATTAATCAGAAAACATATTATAATTTGACATCAATAAATCATTTAACAAGCATCATTTGGATCCCGTCTGTTTCTTGATTAATGTTCTGTGACGTAATGTTCATTTTACTGTACTGTAATTGTTCCCAATTTGAAACTCCAGTAGACATGCATGATTGAAAATGTGAAAATATCATGTAGAAAATTGTGGAAAAGTATTATGGAAAATTGATATATTAGAGTACAAACACTAAAACTGTGCAACACGTAAATACCACTAAATAYTGCTAAATTATGCTAATTCTATTGTTTTCTATTGTTTAATTAACACTATTTTGTAGTAATTAGTGGAAAGTAGAGTGCTCGCACTAAATACAGCTATTTGCAATAATTCTGACCCCCCCTACACTAATATTCATATATATCAAAGTAGCCTTAGAAATTATGGGATACCAATGCTGATATTTTTTTGAGAAAGTACTCATTCTGGGCAAGAATTATTGCAAACAGCTGTACAAAATATTAATACTAATATAAATATAAATACTACAAAATAGGTGATAAATTATACAAATTCCTTTGTTTCCTATTGTATAATCARTAGTATTTAGTAGTAATTAGTACTATTTGTTTCACGCTTTAGAGTGCACGTCACATAAGCATGAAACAATTCTTAATATGTATTGCTAAATAAGATTTAGTTATCAACTAACTAAGAATTCAACAAAGCATAAACACAATGCCAATTATTTAAATTCCTTTGTAGCATTGTTCTCAATTCTTAGTTGATAACTAAATCTTTATTTAGCACAACATAGTTAAGAATTGTTTCATGCTTATGTGACTTGCACTTTAAGTGCAAGCACTCTATTGTACACATTTAATGTTTGTACTCTATGCAAATGAATCACTACTATTCATTTAGACAACTGTTTGCTTCCTACTTCCATGCTATTTCACTTTTCGCGAAAAAAAGAAAATATAAATTACAATTAATTATTTTTGTCATTGAATAAACTGTCAAATAGTGGTGGTTTTTTAAATTTAATCCACTGAAGATATTCATACTGCTTGAATAAATCATGTTTGGAAAGTGCAATTACGAATTGGACAAGTTCCTTACGACTTTTGGTAAAAAGAATACGTTTTATGCGATATAACACAAACTTTGGAATATTTGGGTATTTTCCATGACGCATAACTTGCTTGTTCCATGAAAACAAAACGTGGATTAAAAGCCGAAGCTGTACATATTTGAATGTTAGTGCCTGCCATTGGCAAAKATGATTTCGACTAAAGATGTAACTCTCTTTGTTTAAATCCTTGTATCTTTGCGAGTTATGGTTTTCTTTATCAATTGCCTCCTTAACAAACGTAGCTTCTTTCTTTACGGCCTCGTAATCATCGGTGTAGATCTTGTATTTCGTTTTTGAAAGTTTTGCAATATCACTGAGTTGCAATGCTGTTTCTTTCGAGCACATATCAATATTACTCATTGTAGTTGCCTTTTTGTGCTTGCGCTTATTTCTTACTGGCTCGCATGTTGCATATCGTGAATCTTCATGCTCCTTTCCCGAAAGCAACAGTTTGACTAACACTCTTATTGTGTCTATAGATTCTGTCGTAAAATGTAGTAGATTTGTTCTGGAGAATCGAAGTTTAGATTCCTTTGAAGCTAAAGCATTAGCAATGTCTTGTAACCAATTATCATTTTCGCAGTTACARGATTCCGTTTCAATACCAGCCAAACCATGGTGGATTTCATGAATTAAGTGTGAATCGTCATGTGTTAACAAACACTCATCCTGACCACACGACTCTTCAAGTGTACGTAGAGATTCCAAACCGAAACCATGGTCAGTAAATATGTCGGGGACTCCGTGGAATAAACTGTTAACGATRATAAAGTACTCTGTAATTGCTGGGGGAGTTATTTCTTTTCCTTCGTACTTTGAGAGTACAGAASTAACCTTACACCATGGGTTTTCCCAGTGACATTCATCTCCGCCATAAATTTTTGCTAAATACAATGGTGTAACTCCGTGTTTTGTAGTGCAATTAGCATCTAATCCCACTACTTTTGATTGMTKTYTGTATCTGAARAGATCTTCTATGAAACGCCACATCCCTCGTGTTGCTGCCAAATGCAGTATTGTCATTGTAACTGTTTGGTTGCAGCCAATATTTAAAGGCTTATCCTTTGTTATGTAATCTGTAATGACACTGGCAGTCATTGATGCAACTTCGATTTCTAAAGCCGTTAAAAGGCTGGGCTGATGCAAGTTAAGACGAGGACGATACTTGATTGCATACCATATAGTTAGGTTCAATAGATCAAACCCCTCTGGGCTTGCCAAAGTTGCGTTCGCTCCCCAATTTAAAAAATGCCTTACTGCAGCAACATTACTTCCCTGCGCTGCCCTCTGAAGAGCAGTGTACCCCTCGTCATCTAAACACTCATCGATTATYTTGAAGCCTCGAAGGTGAGACTTGATGGCCTTTGTTACTGGGCCATCTCCTAGTCTTGATATCCTGACTTGTGCGCTTTGTGTTGACTTCCCATATTCGTCAAATAAATAATCAAATAAGGCATGCTTGGATTTCAAGTACTTTTCCCATTTGTTGCAATTGTCAAATACCGAAAGGTACTGTAGATAATGTAACTTGTGATAGGCAGCTAAATGAAAAACAGAGTCTTCAAAGTTCTCGCCACATTTTATGTCAATTGTCACTTTATACTTTACAAGAACTTTATCCATGTTGCGTCCTCCTTKTCTCAGGTAAACGAGAATTGGACTGAGGCCATTTTCTTCGCAGTTCACATTGTTCCCCCAGTCTAAGTATGCATCAACGCTGTATACCCAAAGTTTCTCTATCATGTACATCAGCCTAGAGCAGTTTTGAGTAGCTGAAGTCACACTTATCAATGCTGTACTCATGAAAGTCGTGAAAATATTTCTTTCATCAACTGTCATTGTTTGAAGTACTACCATATCGACCATTACCTGGAATGGTGGCAAAATCGGCCTGATTACCTTTTTAAAGTCCGCATCTCTAGAGCTTCCGACTAAATTTCTAACCCAGTCTGCTGTACTTTTATGTTGCGCAATTTTTTTACTGACCAGTCCGAAAAAGAAGTCAATTTCGTGTTCAGGTATATTCAACGAGCTATTCGAAAGAGATCTAACAAACTTGATCAAAGATGGGATTAATGCGTCTCCTTTGTCGAAAAGTGAAAATCTTATTCCAGATTTGAAATCGATTGGATCGATTGGTTGATCTGCATAATGGTCAATACTAGTAGGCAAAGTTCCATTGTACTCAGCMGCTTCAAAGATAAAGTCAATTGCTGTCTTTTCGTCCTCTGATTTTGCAAAGGCATYCGCACCAAGGGCAAAAAGTTTCGAAARGATTTTGGATGCTCGACACTTGCATGCGTAATGAATGGGGGTCATTCCAGTTGTGCTATTGCTATTGATGTCAACTCCATATTCYACCAGGGCRGACACYACACCCTCATAACCTCGGCACGAAGCAACATGAATAGGGTGCAGTCCATCACAATTCGTAGCATTGTGACTAGCGTTAAATTGTAAGAGGAGGTATGTAATAGCAGAAAGACCACGATATGCCGCTATATGAAGTGGTGTATACCGACAAGGACAAAACTCAATAAACCTGCTCGAATCGCCTTGTGCTGGTGTAAATTTGCATATTTGYGAGGGATTCGCACCATTCCTAAGGAAAGTTTGGACAGAATGGTAATTGTTGTGATACACAGCCTCGTGAAGTGGTCCTTTTCCATAATAGTTTGTACAGTTGATCGCGTTGTTTTTCTTGGTTAATAAYGCTYCAATAACTTTAGGAAAATCGTTGATTGCAGCRGCGTGTAAAGCTGTATTGCACAAGCGAATATAGCTACGAAACAATATTTTCTCGCGTAAAAAGTCATTACTTGGATATAAACTRCAATCTAAACAAGTGTCTTCAATTCCTTTATCGAGAAGAAACAGTACCACTTCAAGATGCCCTTGAGAAGCAGCATAATAAAGGCACGATTTGTCAAGTTCTGCGCCATTCTTCAACAGAGTGCTTATTGTTCGATTATGACCATATTCTGCGGCAAGCTGAAGTGCGCTGTCATCCGTTCCTGACAATGATGAAATGTTGGCGTTGTTTTCCAGCAGATATTGAACAATRTCTTGGTGCCCTTTTTGAGATGCAACATGCAGCAGATCATAACCACACATTTGACGTTTACAGTCTTCAACATCTCTCAAATTGCGAACCTTGAAACTTTTGGATTTTCCATGAAGAGAAGCTCCTTTCTYGGCAAGCAAGCGTAGGTTATCGAGTCGACCAAACAAGACAGCATAAAATGTTGGAGTACGTWGATTAACATCAGCRCAATCAAGAGAATCGTCAAAAAAGTTTAGAGCTAAATCTAGAATTTYAKTGTGCTCTGATCCTGCAGCAAAATGGAGAAGGGTTGCATTTGTGTAATTGTCTGGAGTGTTAACGATTTTTGGATCAAGATCCAGAAACCTCTCTTCGTGCTTTTTCAAGCGGCCTCCTTTGGTTATRTGTGAAACGAKTTGGTGTATGAATTGCGGTGTTATAATAACCTCACTAGAATTACCACTCTCAATTTTGGAAAGGTAATATTCTGCCAGTAGTCGATGCCCTTTCTTTTCGTCAACATAATATGCYCCACCTCTGTTGGCCTTATTTGTCAACCATTCCATCAATGAACTATGGAAAACGCYTACAACATTGTATTTTGTCGGTGAATAWCGAAGATAAATAGAAAGATCTTCAAGCATCGGCATAAAATCATAATCGAGATCAAAATCCTTATYCTCCATACGAAGAACGTTGTAAAGATCATCAACTTTTAAAGGTGACAAGGCTGCTGCGAGAATTTCAAACATCCGCCGTGGGGCGCGGAAAGCACTTGGATCCGTACCATAATTTCTTCTGAAAAACTCATGATAAATGCTGCTCACGGAGTCTGGTAATGAGATGTTCTCTGCTTCAAAATGTTCAGTCTTTAACTGGTCCAAAACGAGTTTGACATACAGAAAATTTCCTTGACTTTTCGTCACAAGTGCTGAGATCGGAAAGGCTTGAATATTGAGAYTTTTTATRCGTCTATCAACATAGCGTTCGATATCATGCAAGTTTGCCGGATTATCAGGATTAAGCTCAATAGACTTTARACTAATTARCTGGCGACGAATCCTTGGGATATTTCTTGAGGTAGCGACGAATTTAAGCCACTTGGGGAGTGCCTTAATGCTTTGAGCTATWATGCTTAGAATYGCCGTGTCTTGAGTTGCATCAGATTCACCACATTCATCCAGGGCATCTATGACGATGTACATTGGCTTAATAAAACGTAGGCTCAAATCTGAAAGAGGGTACAGAACTCCATTGTTAAAACCACTGGTCGGGTCACTTTGGCAATCATCTTTGAGAGCTTTCTGCACTTTTTYATCGGAGATAATCATATTCTTATACTCGGGTATTCTATTGGATGTCAACACAGCAATATTTTGTACAAATTTTGCAGGATCTCGAGTATTCTTGTGGGAATGAATRCACATATGATAGGCAAGGATCTGTTTCTGTAAAGAATAACTTGAAAGCTTAGAACAAACAAGGTTWGCAATAAAAGCTGATTTTCCAAATCCTGGAGCAGCCACGAGAAGAATGCCATGTGAATCTTGTTTCTCCTTTTCGAAGAAGTTTGTCAAATTTTTGAAGAGCCATTCACGTCCAACAAACTTTGTATTCGCTCTGTTGAGGTTTTCAGAAAAGGTTGGCTGGCCAATCATAAGAGGGTCATGCATTGSCTCTCGAGGACACCCTTCAGAATGTATAGAAAAAAATATATTATTAACTTTTTTTATCAGCGCCATTTCATAAGTTATGGACAAGACTTAACACTAAAACTCCTCTTCATTTTTTAAGGCCCGAAGACCTTATATAAAAACAAAACTCATACAAAATATCATAGTATGACGTCAGAGAGAGATGTCTGCGCTTCTTTTCATAGGATTTTCCTGAATGTGAATCCTTTGAGTAGGATCTCAAATCTACTCGGCCGTATCCTACAAATGTAGTTCACCGTTGTCGTAGTCCCACTCGCAAGTTGCATAACTTAAGTTCTACACCTATCTACTATACACTGCTAAAAAAACATGAGTAATGATTCCTACACATGATTAATATGCGTGCAAAGACATATCGATGACGTCACATAAATAGCTGGAGACAAAAAAAACGCCGGCTGTTCATGTCTCCCTCATAACAATATTATACAGTTATTTCAAAAAAAAAGTTGTCACAGCGTAGCGGCGATTGCACGACGGAAAGTCAGTGTGTATTAAGTTTTAGATGAATAAGATGGAAAATACACACTTATTTGCTGAAAAACACTTACAAACCAAACAAATCACCATCAAAAATCTTTRAACGACAATTTGAGGCATCTAAGTAAATATTGCTATCGATAATTAATTCATACCCCGGCCACTGTGATTTTTCTGTCGTGGATTCGATCTTCGCTGTGAAAACCTTTTAAGGCCCGTTTACACTTGCAATTTTTGCAGCGCGATTGTCGCGCGACAATCGTCACTTTGTTCTCTCGCACCTCAAATCGTACATAACTAAATTTCAAGCATGTTCGAAACTAAGGCGATTGTCGCGCGACAATCGCGCTGCAAAAATTGCAAGTGTAAACGGGCCTTTATAATTCACTTTCTTTCTTACCAATATCTTCGACACTTTCGTCCAGAAGAGTGACACAGGCCATCAACCAGATTATAATAATGATACCTCTTCTTGATGCCATTTTTGGAAGCATAAGATACAATGCGATAGCATACATTATAATGCTCCAACCTAAAGCTGCAGAAAATCTTGAAAATGCTGCAAAATATCTCTGGGCTGCTGATTGACTTCTTAGGTTTGATATCTCTTGAATGCTTTGGAGCATTTGTTGGAACTGTGTTTCCAAGTTTTGAAGATTATTATCCCGTTCTCTATCAGCCATCAAACAAAACTTTAAAAGTTCAGTTAAGTGTGAAATTTTCTCCTTGATATCATGAGCGTTAGAGTCTTCTTGATCTTGGATTGTTTTGATCGCTAGACTTAGTTCTTCTTTCGCTGATACGATAGAATCTTTCAGAGTAGATACAACTTTGGTTTCCACATCGTCAAAATCCAATAAATCTCCAGCATTTTCGATCTCATTGACTTTTCCAAGGGCCTCCTGAGCATCTTGGTCAGAAATCAACTCTGGGTCTTGCAGAAGATTTTTTATTGCATTAAAAGCATCGTCGGTTTGCACTTGRGAGAACTTTTGTTGAGCCTCATGAGCCCATTTGTTACGGGTATTTTTCGTTTCTTCTACTAAATGTGTGTTTGTTTTGAAATGCTTGCAAAATTGCAGAAAGTTAAGAAGCCCAGTGGCATCGGTTTCATTTGCATTGACTTTTCCACTTGCACAGCCAAAAGGCATAAAAACCTTAGCAACTTCCCAATAACCAACKTTGGCATCGGTCCACTTCCTACCGTCGCTGTTACTCCATGTTGGATTTCGTCGGTGATGTAGATTCAATTCCTTTGCCCAGTCACAGTTTGCCATGTCGTGATGTGGACTAGGCCGTCGTCTTGACGTGTAAACGCACGYACATGTAGTAAACCYTTTGGCAAGCAAAATGTTATGAAAYGATTTTGCTTCTCTTTCGACGTACGGCCGTATCCCCTCACATGCTAAATGTAGTGCATAACCAACTTTTAACCAATTTTTRTATTTCACGTCSTTTAATCTTCCCCTCCATTCGGATGAAATGGTTATTCTTTCGTCTTCCATTTCAATTCTGCGADGGAAATTAGAATAACTTAGGTTATATGCTGGGCTATCTACTAAGCAAAACACAGTGTCGACAAAACAAAGTAAAGCTTTGTAAACTACAGTTTTCCCACTTCTTACCGGTATGAACAGTGTATCGATCAGAATATAGTTCAATGACAGGAAATTACTAAATAAACAAATATCATTATCTGTGCTTTTCACACTTTCATTTAGTTCTTCGATCGTCGTCCATAAACCAGTCAAACGCTTTACATCAGTGCACATACGAGTATAAATAACCACTTCTCAGAATTGGGGCAGGCAAGCGTGACGTAATTATATAATTTTCATCAACTAGTTCTCAGGTCACGCTGAGCCAGACAATTATACTTCTTCTATGGTGGGAACTAGCGGTAAACTAGTGTGAGCTGCGTCGGTGTTTCTAAAGAAACAGTTATGTAAAAAGATAAATTTAACACCGTAAAAAAGTATGTGGAAAAACTTACTGACGTTTCGGATGTTAATCCTTCGTCGGA